GCTGGATGACCCAACCCCCATCGCGACTCTTCATAGCAGCCCTGTACGTTTCATTAGGAATTGGGAGAAGAAGGCGGAGTGTTGGGGATGAATACGTACAGGGCTGCTATGAAGAGTCGCGATGGGGGTTGGGTCATCCAGCTGTAGAAATTGTATAATCTCAACCCGAGCATAGTCTGTTGACATGAATTCACAACCATGAGAAGTAAGATAACAATGAAGAGGGACAAATACCAAATAATAGATGATTCCATCACGGAACATTGTAGAAACCAGTTTTGAGGGCTGTCGGTGTTTCGCAAGGGCTTTTCGGTAGATTTTGTAGATGATGGTAAAGAAGATCGTCATCTCGAACAGCATAGGTCCGATCCAAATATACCCTAGATTGTTAGGTGTCAGTACGATGATTCAGAGTTGTCTCGACGAATGCTTACCCATGACAGCTGGACGAACTACAAGCCCACATGAACGGATCGTCTTCGAGTAGAATATCTAATCTGAAAAGCAAAGGCCAGGGTTTTAGACCAATAGCCACAACAAAGGGCTGAGTGGTTTCGACAGCATATGACGCCGGAGCATCTAGCTTCGTCCACTTCCTCATAAATGGATGTTATGGAATGACATACCGGCAAGTGTCATGTATGTCCTAGTAACAAAGCTGCAAGTGATCGCATACACAGTAAAGTAAAAGACCCTAAGTCCGATCTGGACGAATCTTGCATTGCCACAGAGTGCTATTGCGCGTGCAGATAGGATCCAGTTTCCTATGCCACAGCTGATGTATCCGCCGATTCCTATGAAGAAAGCACGAGTTCGGCCACAGGTGAGATTGGTCTCGTCACTCCAAGGTAGTAATGACTTGGATCGTACCTGCAGACATGATCAAGATTTCACATCTAAAATTTGGGATCAGTCAATGGAATGAAAGCGGAACCGGTACCCGTACTGCTTGTCCTTCCATGATCTGTTCACTCCGCTGAGCATATATGCGTTTGCAGTAAGAAATCCAAAGGAGTAAAAGCACAAGAAGATTACCCTATGCATGATGTCTCGCGGAAGAGTAGTAGTACAGCGCCCAGACTACCTCCTCTCGATACGGTTACCTATACGTTTGGTATGCGCGATATAGGGAAAGACTCGAGGGAATCGCCTCTCCCTCCTGAAGATACCAATGTAGCGGAGCAGCGTCGATAGCAAAACAATGAGGCGTTAGGTTAACCGAGAAGGACTCGTCTGCATCGTATAGCCTGTTCCGAATTATATTATGAGTCAAGGTATATGTAATGTACAACTACTTCATCTATGTATATAGCTACGAAAGCCATCTGGCCTGTGAAATTATCACTCTATCATTATGGGGAGGCTCGCTGGGAGGGAACCGCTCGTCTTTATTCTTTTCTCCGGCTGTACAGGCCCTGTATCTGTCAAGATGATCATTATGTAACGCAGGGCCGCATCCGGGCACACTTTTTGTATGATTCTCTCGAGCCAATTGGGGAATATACCGCATGGCTGCCATGTCACGTGGGCTCCCAAGCCTCGGAAATTACCTAATAAATTGTTTCGTAGCCGGTCAAGAGGTATGAGCCTCCTCGGTATTATGACACAGTTCCCGAAGCTTAACTTGGGCGGTTGACATGCTCTGATGTACAAAAGTCACGAAGTAGTAAAGGAATCTCGTTAAAACAAGCTACATTCGCATGGATAAGCGCTCTTTCCTGCATCCCCCTCTAATACCCTTATCCCCTCAACCTGTCTTTATATCTCTCGAGTCGCTATAGAGGCGTCATTTCTGCACCCAACCATGGAAATTCCAGCATCTTCTGTTGATTTATCCGGGAATTTGGAGCTTCAAGCTTTACGGTTGAACCACCAGTCCATGTTTGAGGTTGCGGACAATGTCGTTATCGCTCGGGCCACTTCTGGTGCGTCTGGCTAGCAAAATGGTACCTGAGTACATGCTAAATAAAATATTCTTTCGGGCGATATAGCCGTCGCTGTGGCATTCTTGTGGTATGATACGTGCCTCACCTTGGGGGATGAGGTCGGTCCAGTTTAGAATTTATTAACGAATGCTAAAGGTTTCTCCTATAATAGGTACGCTGGTTGTGGCCCAAGAAATTGAGTTTGATCAAAGTGTTGCTATATGTGGTAAATAATGCAATGCCCCTTGGCCTCTCCTCCCTCCATCCCACTTGTGACCAGTTTGCTAATAAGGTCAACATGATCATTAGAACCGACTTGTTTCCTTTGGATTTCTTACTGCAAACGCATATATG